TATATGTATGTGTGTGTGTGTATAAGTCGATTCTCATTATTTGTGGATTCTGTATTTGCAAGTTTACATATTCCCTAATATGTATTTGTAGCTCAAAAATCAATACTCAGGACGATTTTACAGTTATTCTTGTGGTATATGTATGTGTGTGTGTGTATAAGTCGATTCTCATTATTTGTGGATTCTGTATTTGCAAATTTACATATTCCCTAATATGTATTTGTAGCTCAAAAATCAATACTCAGGACGATTTTACAGTTATTCTTGTATATGCGCAGAGTGGTGAAAAATGTGTGTTGCCTGATACACATTGCTGACTGAACAAGGTAACATTCTGCCTTCTTCTTTCAGCTCTCCTACTGTAAACAAGCATCCTTTTTGTGGTCTGTTTAGTGCCACATTTTTCACTTTGTGTTTTTTGTTGGTGCTTTCACTTTTTAAACTAGCCCTTAAGTGTACTGCTGAAGTGCTGTCTAGTGTTCGTAAGTGCAGGAATGCTGTGATGTGCCTTACAGAGCTACATGTCTAGGTAAGCTTCTTCAGGTGTGAGTTAGAGTGCTGTTGGCCATGAGTTCAGTAAGGTGTGAGTTAGAGTGCTGTTGGCCATGAGTTCAGTATTAATGAATCAACAATATGATACCTTGTTTGTATTTTTTAATGTGTCTTTAAATAGAAACACATAAAACAAGATTATGTATTGATCAGTTGCTAAAATATTGTGACTAGAGGCTTTCAGGAACCTAACCCTGTACTTCCCTTTAGAGCAATGGTTCATTATTCGCTACTTCAGTATTTGTGATGACTTTGTAGAACATAACTGTTATGAATAATAATGAGAATTGACTGTACATACACACACACCTTTGTATGTGCATGCCATATTTGACTACAAGTTTTCAAGGAAATAGACTATGATCAACTTCTAAATACTAAATTTAAACAACATGCAATGTAATGTTTTATTGATGATTCAGATGGTTGAGAAGGTACATAAATATTGAAATATTTATGAATATGCAGAAGTGTCAGTTATATAAATGCATCATATCTTAAAGAATTTTTTAAATTTTCAGCTTCTTTGTGGTTTGTTAACATTAGACAAACAGATAGTTTATATAGTTATTCCTCATTGACTGTATTGCTTATATAGACATTTATTAATAGAGGTCACTTTCTTGAGCATCAAATTCATGATACTAAAAGGTTTTATCTTATTCCTACCAGATTATATATATGAAGCTTTACTGAACACTGCTATTGATATAGATTCTCTAGAAGCAGATTCACATTTAGATGAAGTTTGGATCAAAGAAGTGATAAAGAAGGCAGGAATGAAGTTAAAATGGAGCAAATTAAAACAGGACAAAGTCAGAGCAAATAAAGACGCTGTAAAAAGGTAAAACTTTATACTGGGAGAGGAAGACCATAGTTTTATTCACACTTTTTCATGGAAAAATTTGCCTTATGATTTCTTTTGTAGTTAAAATGATGTGTGAGTATAGGATAAACTTTTCTTCAAAGTGCTTAAAGCATCAGGAAGTTTATTCAGTTTATTATAAAACTCTAAGGGTTATTTTTCTTAGTTTCCTGAGTGTATACATTGGTCTGAATCTTAAAATTTGATTCAGTTATTCTCATTGTTATGAAGATGCCAACTGTAGGTAGGCAGTCATTAAATATTCTGTCATGAGGCCTTATATGTATGTATAGCAGGGGAAAACAGTTATGTTTTAATCAAGGCTGAATGTTGGGTTTTATTGTTAATGATAGCTCAGTGGGATAACTGTGAGCCAATTCACAGGCGACACAGTGTTTCTGATGCTTGAGAAATGAAACTCCTTTCCTGTTAATTGTAGGCCCCAGGCAGATCCAGCTTTATTAACCCCAAGGTCCCCAGTTGTTACTATAATGGGCCATGTTGATCATGGGAAAACGACGTTACTTGACAAACTTCGAAAAACTCAAGTGGCAGCAATGGAATTTGGAGGCATCACTCAGCACATTGGGGCCTTTCTTGGTATGAACAGAAATTTGTGCTTGAGAACCCCACTTATTATTTTCCTAAACTAAATGTCATAATATGAAACATACAAATTCAGAGTAAAAGGGAAGGCAAAAGCTTAAAGCCATTGGTTTGATGAAATGTAGAGCAGGTGGTTAATAAAGAAAGGTTATTTTGTGCTTTCTATAAGAAGAAAATTACCTTTTTCATTTTAGCTTGTTCTTAGTTTAGTTTAATGTACCTAAAACTTTTCCGTAATTAATTATATTTATATAACCTCCAGTGCTAGGTTTTGATAATGTTGCTAATAATAATTAAATAATAGCTACCATTTACTGAGCACTTAGCATGTGCCCAGCATTTTGCTGAGCATCTTATATGCTTTACCTTTTTTATCTTCACAACAATATCATGAGGTAGGTCTTAATATTCCTACTTACAGATAAGGAATTGACTTCTTCAGGTTAAGTAATTTGCCCAAATTACATAACTAGTAAGTGGCAAAGCCAGATTTAAACCTAAGGTTGCTGTACTCAAATCCTGAGCTAATAACAGTGTACAAAATTGCCTTTCTGTGGCTCAAGGCTGTTGTGCAGCTGTGGTTTGCTAATGTAAGGATAGCTGCCTATACGATTATTAGTCTGTTCTCTTCTCCAGAATAGGTATCAGTTGGTACACTTATGAAAGTAGTTAACGTTGTAGAAGCATGAGGAGTTTTAGTTTGAAATTATTATATGAAAAAAATCCTGAAGGTCTCACTGGTATTTTATCACTTTCATTGTGAAATGATGAGCTAGCTGTGTTGTTCTGATTAAGATTAATAGAAGGAATAAAATTATTTTAAAGAATTATTGATTGGGTTTGGTAATGTCACACACATTTCTTTGTATTAAGGAAGTACATATTTGAGTCCTCGGTGTTCTTGGATTTCTGTTTCCACAGTATCTCTGCCTTCTGGGGAGAAGATAACGTTTCTTGATACTCCAGGACATGCTGCTTTCTCAGCAATGAGAGCCAGAGGTGCTCGGGTCACAGACATTATCATATTGGTTGTAGCTGCAGATGATGGGGTGATGAAACAAACTGTAGAATCTATTCAGCATGCCAAAGATGCTCAAGGTACTGTGTGGCTAACTACATGTATCAGGAAGGAAGTTGCTTTTTCTTTTTTTTTTAAAGGATCTGCTACATAAAGTCATTGTTCTGGGGCCATTTATGTGTAGCTCATTTAATATTCACAGCAATCCCAGGATTATTATAAGCCTCAAACATAGTTAAATTGTTTTCCCACAGACGTATAACTAACTAATAGGAAGAGTATAGCAGGATTCAACTTGGGACTTGTGATTACAAGTACAATTCTTCCTCTACTAAAACTTTTTCAACTTTTTATCGTGGAAAATTTAAACAGATACAGAAGTAAGAATAGAATAATGAACTCCTGTGTACCCTTCCCCTAAATTCATTAGGAGTTGCATAGTGGTGATATTCTGTTAGTCCTTGTTCATTTATCATCAGGAATTCTGCTCTAAAGAGGAACTTTTTCTTCATCTGCTTTAAACAAGTTCTTAATTGATCCGTGGTATAAAATTGAAACTTTTGGAAAATCACTTGACCATCTTCTTCCTTCTTTCTTTATATAAAAATTGTAATAATAAATACCACACACATGCACACACATGTATTTTGTACATTCTTATTCTGATATGACCGTAGCTACACCTACTCCCACTGAGAAAAATGCACCTGATAGAGTGTGTCATATTCCCCCCAGGTTTGTTGGCAAGAAAAAAAAAAAAGAGAGAATTACTGATCTAGTCCAATTCTTGCATCTTACAACATGAAAACTAAGAGCCAGACAGCAGCCGGAATTCTTCCCAATGACATACAATTATACAGCTAATTTGCAACATATCCACATTTGGAGTCTGTATCTTCGAGCTTCTAGTTTACTCTCCTTCCTTTTTAATTCCTCAAAACTGCCCATGTGTGATGTACTGTGCTCTTAATGATTCCAGGGAATACATGGCAAGAAGAAGAGAGGGATCTCATAGCAAAGCAGTTGGTTGAGATAGGATACGTTCATTATATCATGCTTTCTGTACTTATTCTCTTGGTCCACATTAAGTTCCAGCTCATCAATATGGAATGTACTTTTTCACAATAGTAAGTTGTGGATTGCAAAATTTTTTTTGTGTCTTCAATTTCTGTTCCTTTGATACCTGAGAAAGTTGCAGAGGTAATGAAACTTAACCAGAGAATTAACTCCTAGAATTTTGTATAATTTTTCTAGCAAGAGGATATGTCTAGTGATGACAAGTAAATTTTAAGATTATTTGATTCATTCATTAAGTAAATATTTATTGAGAGCCTACTATGTGTTAGTCACTGAGCTAGGTGTATGAATAAAGAGTTGCTATAAATCCTAAGAAAAAAAATTTGCAATGATGATACTTAGTTTCAACCCAAGATGAGATGTTGGGTTTTAACAATGAATTACTGAAGTCTGGAAAGAAAAGGCAAATGACCTAGTGAATTAGAATCTTCTCTTGGTTTTTTTTCTGGAGATTATCTCCTGTACAGTTACTGATTTTGCTTTTAGGTTTAAGGACAGGCCTTTCTCTACCCCAAATATTGTTTTTTTTTATAATCGTGGGTATCTCTTTTTAATTCAGAGTCTACTGATAATTACAGTTTTAATCTCTTTTATCTGGAATCCTTCTTTACATGTAAAGAGCAGAGTAGGGTGGTGTGACTCTAAAGTGGGTTCTTTAGGCCTTTTGTTAGATAAGTATATCCTTGGAGTACAGAGAAAGCCAAACTAGACTTGTGTCTTTCACTGTGAATACCTGGAATTTCTGGACACTGTGAACACCTGGAAGGTGTTATCATTTGCACTCTTCTTTACTCTCTTTCAGTTCCTATTGTCCTTGCCATAAACAAATGTGACAAAGCCGAGGCTGATCCTGAAAAAGTGAAAAAAGAGCTGCTGGCTTATGATGTGGTTTGTGAAGATTATGGAGGTGATGTTCAAGCAGTGCATGTCTCTGCACTTACGGTAAATGCAGGCATCTCAGAGATGAATGTGCTCAGATTGGAATGCTAGACATAATACACACAGTGTGTCATACATACCTAAAGAACATTTTAACATACATTTGTGTTATTTAAAAAAAAAATTCTCTGGGTTCTAAGCATAGCTGGTATCATTATCCTGGTTTGGCAGAAGAGGAATTAGGCTTAGAGAGGTCAGTCACCAGTCCATGGTTACACAGCTGAACAATGGAGAATCAGGTCTAAACCTAATGCTTTTTTTTATTATGAGATACTTAGAATGAGGAGAATAAATGGTGAATGATGTGGGGGTAGGATAACAGTAGGCTAAAGACTGTTTTAAGCAGAAATGAAGTCCACCCCCAAAGTCAGTATCCACCCCAGTATGACCAAGCCACCACCAGAAGCCCCCTGGGTTTCCCGGCCAGAATGAGGGAGTTACCACGGGCCTTGACCATGCCCTCCTTCCCTTTTCCCCCTCCGACTGCTCCACAACAACATTTTAGAATGCAAAAAAATATAATAATAAATAAATTTTTAAAAAATGAAATCCCGTTGGTAATAAACAGTGCTTGTATTTTAGGCCTGTGGAATGGACCTAAGGACATTTAAGAGAGATTTAAACAAATAAAAATTTCACTAATATAAAGATTAAGTATTTGGGTTGATTTTGTTATTGATTGAATGTTCCTATGGATTAATCTTTATAAGTTTTATAATGTTATTTATGATGAATTCCATTTTCTTTTAAATTACCAATTATTCTTTCCTTGATGGAAGCACCGAGGAAGCTCAGTACTTGCCTCATATCAGCATTTTCCAGTTCTCTTATCCTGCAGAGGTTGCTGCTGGTAATAATGTCCTTTTTTGTCCATTGTTACCATATTCCACAGTTTACTCATAATACAGACTTTTCCCCCACTAGTCATTCACTGAAGGGATGGTGTTGTACTTAACCATCTTCATCCAATTAATTATCATTTCATCCTTACTTCTCCTAAATGTGCTATCTCTAAGATGCTTAGAAACTCTTGTCTCCATTAATAGTAAAACTGTACCTCTGAAATTGACAAAATGCTACCTTACTTTATTATCTTTCCACTATACCTCAATTGTTATTGCACTCTGAAAGCTAAATGGCAAGCTTAACTACAGTAAGATTAAAATATTTGAAGACTTAACCACCTTTTCTGCCCAGATACCATCAGATGAGTAGATAGATGTAAAGCTGAGTAGGCAGATTTGGAGGCCTGGCAGAGATGATTCCTAGGGAATGGAGGGCATTGGGAGAGAGTGGCAGGAAAGTAAGATAAGGCCTTCTTTTCTGAAAGAAAGAGGACTACTTCATGCAAAGAAACAACCCCAGCTCTGTTCTTTGGAGCAGCATTTTGTAAATTGGAGTAAATACTAGGAATAAGTGGGTGGGTAAGAAAAGTATTTATTCAATTTTTTAAAAGTTGTCTGTTGTTTTATACGCTTAACAACTGTGAGCAATCTCTTAGCTGACATGGAGAGTGGAAAAATCCCTTGTCCATCAGTTCTAGTTTCATCACCAGTTAATCAGCTATGTGATCCTGGAGCCCCAGAGAGCATAGTAAACATAGATCATTAAAGGTAAAAGACTCCTCTAATCTAGCCCCTTCATTTTATGGTTGAGGAAAGAAAATCCAGGAAGATGAAGTAATTTTTCAAGGCTGCATATGTGGATAGTGGTACAATAGGGCATAGAGCCTGAGTCTAGTCAGTGCTTTTTCTCATTTATTTAATAGGGGTAAAGTAATGCTTGATTTACTTACTTTCCAGGATTCTTGAGTGGATCAAGTGAAAAGTGAAAACTTTTCAGCTGGATAGAACTTCAAATGTAAAGTAGCATCATTAAGAAAGTTAGTGTGAGGAAGAATACACTGTCATAAAGACAGATGGAGGAAAAAGAGAATGAATGAAGCATGTGTTTATGAAAGGGTGTTAACAAGCACCACCAGTGGCCATTCCTTAGAAAAAATAGCCACTTGTTCCTTGCAAGATCTGTCCCTGGGTCACATTTTGTTGCCAATTCCTTCCTTTCCTCCCTCTCACCCTCCCTCTCTTCCTTCCTGTCTTCCTTAAATTGGGTAATGAATGCTTTTAATGCTTAAGGAGAAAAATATAACATGACTGTCAAGGATTATTTGGCTTTCTGACCCTGATATTTACATTTACAGATAATATTCATTAATGTGTAGTAAAATCTCTGTTGTTGTTGTTAAAGGGTGATAACCTGATGGCTTTGGCAGAAGCAACAGTTGCTCTCGCAGAAATGTTAGAGTTGAAAGCAGATTCCACTGGTCCAGTGGAAGGAACAGTAATAGAGTCTTTCACAGACAAAGGAAGAGGGTAGGACTGTTAAAATGTTTCTTTTTATTAATTTTGTCAATGGTTTTTGTGACTTCATTGTATAACAGTATATTATTTTTATTGCATGTTATTATTAGTTCATGAGCAATATTTTCAAAGCATTTATTTTGAAAAGTATGTTATTGTGCTAACACGCAGAACACAAATACACAGTTATTATTAGTAGACTATCAACTAGCTATATATCTAGTAGTCGTATTAAGTAGTTCAATTTGTTTGACTTTTTTCCCACTGACTTAACTGAATTCATAAAGCCTCATAGATTAACATAAATTGGAATGAAATACCAATTGTTGCATTTTAGGGTTTCTAAATCTTTAAGACTTGACCTGTTAATATAATAGGTATAGGAAAATCTTTGAAATGGTGTTTTTTTCCTTGTATTTCCCTACTTATCAGCGAGAGGTCTTCTCATTGCTTTATACTCAGTTACAACTGTGCGCAATCTCTTAGCTGACATGGAGAGTAAGGTAGAAAGTGGATTAGGATTATGCAAGAACACTGTGCTCCCTGCTTCCTCCCTTCTTGTATTTCCCTACTTATCAGCGAGAGGTCTTCTCATTGCTTTATACTCAGTTACAACTGTGTGCAATCTCTTAGCTGACATGGAGAGTAAGGTAGAAAGTGGATTAGGATTATGCAAGAACACTGTGCTCCCTGCTTCCTCCCTTTGCATAACCTTACAAGAAATGTATGTGTGTTTTTAAATTATTTTGATAAAAAACACATAACATTAAATTTACCATGTTAACCATTTTTAAGTATACGGTTTAGTAGTGTTAAGTATATTCACATTGTTGTGCACCAGATCTCTAGAATTTTTTTACCTTGCAAAACTAAAACTCTATACCTATTAAACACTAATTGTCCATCCCCTATTTCTCCAGCCTTTGGCACTAACTTTCTATTTTCAGTTTTTATGATTTTGACTCTTTAGATACTTCACATGAATAGAATCATACAGTATTTTTCCTTTTGTGACTGATTTATTTCACTTAGCATAATGTCTTAGAGTATCATCCATATTGTAGCATGTGGCAACAATGCTTCTTTTTTAAGGCTGCATAATATTTCTTGTGTGTATATGGCACATTTTCTTTGAATGAAATGTCCGTTCATCTATTGATGGATATTTGGGTTGCTTCCACCTCTTGGCTATTGTGAAGATATATTTTTATAGTATGAAAAATTTCTTGAGAAGTTGAGAAGTAGTAGAAGTTAGCCTGTGTATACATGTGTTTAGATATATATTTAAACCTCATAAAGATATCTTTGCTCTACTTAATAAAGTACAGTTAGGGCTGGCTGGTTAGCTCACTTGTGAGAACATGGTGCTGGTAACACCAAGGTCATGGATTTGGATCCCCCCATTGGCCAGCTGCCTCCTCCCCCCCCCAAAAAGAAAGTACAATTACATCTTGATTACAATACACACACACGCTGGTAACACCAAGGTCATGGATTTGGATCCCCCCATTGGCCAGCTGCCTCCTCCCCCCCCAAAAAAGAAAGTACAATTACATCTTGATTACAATACACACACACACACACACTTTTATTTTCCTTTTAGTCCTGTTACTACAGCTATAATTGAAAGAGGAACTTTGAGAAGAGGCACAGTTTTGGTTGCGGGAAAGAGTTGGGCAAAAGTACGTTTAATGTTTGATGAAAATGGAAAAACAATCAGTGAGGCCTATCCCAGCATGCCAGTGGGAATTACAGGCTGGAGAGACCTTCCTTCTGCAGGAGATGAAATTCTTGAAGTAGAATCTGAGGTACATCAAGCTTAAATCCTATATATCAGATATGATACAATGATTTTAAGTATCAATCTATAGTGTTATACCAAATAAATGTATTAATGTTAACAAATAATCCTAGATTATATAAGGGGCTGTGAGGGGACCAGTCTTTCCATTTTAGAATTTGACTATAGAATAATTTTTTAAAATTTAAGGTAAGATTTTTAAACTAAATCATTTCAATTATACACAAAGCTCCCAAATTAAAATTGTACAGGTTTCTTAAAACTTACAAAATTAGTTGTTTCATATGAATTAAGCTAACTTTGTAATGGAGTATAATACAAAGCCTTTAACCTAGCAGTTTTTAATGTCTATTTCATTAAGTAATACCAGTTTTTCCCCTGTAAAGCCAAGGGCACGTGAAGTTGTTGACTGGAGGAAGTATGAGCAAGAACAGGAGAAAAATAAAGTTGATCTGAAAATAATAGAAGAAAAGAGAAAGGAACACCAAGAAGCACATCGGAAAGCCCGTGAAAAGTATGGCACTTTGCACTGGAAGCAGATATCATTTAAAAAGTACCTAGAAAGAAAAGAACAAAAACCATTAAAGCCAAAGGAGAAAATAGAAAGAGATTCAAATGTACTTCCTATAATTCTTAAAGGTGCCTTTTATAAGATTTTACTTTACAACTTGTCTTTTGAATAAACATGTTTCATTATTCTCGTGATTAGTTTGGGCCCTTAAATTTAAGTGAAAATTATTTCAATATGTTGGGGGATATTTTCTGAGTAGATGTATTTCTTGCTGATTTTGTTGTAAATGTACATTTGGTTCATTATACTTTATAGTTAAGTAGATATTTATAATGCTAAATCTAAATAAAAGTGGACTTAGTGGTAAATGCCTTTGCTGTATAGATTGTCATTTTTGTGTGTTAATGCCAGCTCTTAACACCAACAATTTTAAACTTTTGCTGTTTTTAGGTGATGTTGATGGTTCCATTGAGGCCCTTTTGAACGTTGTGGATAGCTATGATGCTTCGCACGAGTGTGGACTAGAATTAGTACATTTTGGAGTGGGTGATATTAGTGAAAATGATGTTAACCTTGCTGAAACATTTGATGGTAAGGATTCCATTTCCTATTTGTTTAACTGTGTTCTTGGCTTGTCACATCTGACATTAGTTCCCATCAACATCATTCTTCCCACTGTAGTCCAGTCCCAGCTAGCAGTTGTGACCGAATGGGTTGTGTTGTATCCCAGCCATAGCTCCACTTGTCATGGTTGTACTGCAACTCAGGGGAACTATTTCAAAATGGGGTAGTGTTTCTTAATTTTTTTTTTTTTTTAAGCAGCATTACTGTGCCCTCTTCCCACTCTCTAGGTTCCCTACCCAATCCAGGGTTGGTTCTCTGTATCTTTCAGGAATTTAGACTTTTGAATGTTCCTAACACTATAATCAGCCTATTTCGTACTTTTTTACATCTTTTACTCTGGCTACCTATTTTTGTTAATTGAAACTTTATAAATCATATCTTTTTAGGTCAAAATTTTGTTTTGGCTTTAAATGCCTAAAATACCAGAGGACTGTCTTTATTAGTTAAACTTACACAAAAAGGGGACTCATGACTGTCAGTTCAACTATGTCTAACACCTAGTAAAGCACCAACATTGTTGAGTCATAGAGGTCTTAATAACCTGACCTGATTGGAAGTAGGTGTCACCTCTACTACTGAAAAGGTATTTTCAGTAATGCTGATTAATTCAAAGTATTTGTTAGACTAGCACTATGCTATGTAATGTAGACAGTATATTGAATGATTTCTTAATGGTAAGATTGTATTTTTCTCCTAAGCTGTTTGGGTTAATTTTTTCCATTCATTCTGTTTAAAACAAGAGTGTTTTTTATTTTATTTTTTTCCTTTTTTGTCTTTTTTTCATGACCGGCAACGGATCGCAACCCTCAGTGTTGCGCCCACAATGATCTCTAGTTTTTACTACTTAGAGTATAGATAGTAGAAGTTTTATTTATTGGTAATTATTAGAAAGGTTTGTAGAAAGCCAAAAATCATTCCACTATAAATTTATTTATTTATTTTATTTTATTTTATTTTTTTTAAAGATGACCGGTAAGGGGATCTTAACCCTTGACTTGGTGTTGTCAGCACCACGCTCAGCCAGTGAGCGAACCGGCCATCCCTATGTGGGATCCGAACCCGGGGCCTTGGTGTTATCAGCACCGCACTCTCCCGAGTGAGCCACGGGCCGGCCCAAGATTTATTATTTTCTGACCTGCTAAACATGATCATACAGAAATTTGTATTTTATTGTGCTGAGAGCAATTTGGCTAAGCATAAACCGCAAAAACTGTAGGCAATAAAATTATAATCTTATAATAGAATTGTTATTAAAATAAAGCAATAATATTTCAGTCCTGACCATTTTTTATTTCTCTGGTATAAAAATGAAAGCTTTGTTCAGTATATTGCCTTGTACATTGTGGGCACTTAAAATAATGTTTCTTAGGGCCAGCCCATGGCTCACTTGGGAGAGTGTGGTGCTTATAACACCAAGGCCATGGGTTCGGATCCCTATATAGGGATGGCCGGTTAGCTCACTTGGGAGAGCGTGGTGCTGACAACACCAAGGGTTGAGATCCCCTTGCCGATCATCTTTTAAAAAAATTAATAATGTTTCTTAAATGAATGAATTTAAAATCATAAAGAAATTTTCCTTGTTCAACAAGCCATAGTATAATTTATAAAATTTTACCAATATGAAAATGTACTAGTTTTTGTGAGAAAAACATTGTAGAATTTCTCATCTCCCCTAATTGATATTCCTATTTAATTTACATTGAAGGAAATACCTTAGATTTGAGTTTCTTAAAAGATGAATAAATTAATATAATGCAGTATTTGTACTACTTTTTTGATTGTATTTCTGCTTACCAGGTGTTATATATGGCTTTAATGTGAATGCAGGCAATGTTATCCTGCAGTCAGCTGCCAAAAAAGGAGTAAAAATTAAACTTCACAAAGTCATTTACCGTCTTATTGAAGATTTGCAGGAGGAACTGAGCAGCAGATTGCCCTGCATTGTGGAAGAACACCTAATAGGTGAGTGTTCACTGACTGTCACTTTTAAACAGTCATATCTGAGGTATTGTAAAGAGCACTTGAAATCAAAGTTGAGGGGAAATGTGTTTCATTGTTGAAATACATTTGCTGTTCCAATAGATATCCTGTGTTCTGTAAGAGATGACCATTATGAGAATTCATTGTAACCTCCAATGTATTATAAACACCTGCCTTGTGCAACACATTGTGCTTAGGCCCTGACGACACAAAGGCAAATAAGGCCTGAGAACTTGCCCTCAAGTTTAGATGAGAACTAATTGTTATACAAATTAGACTAGGATGGGAGGCTTAACAGTGTCTTGGGAGGAGCCATTGATTTTATCTTGAGGCTGGCAGAGAAATCCACTCTGGGATGAAAATTTACACTTAAGTATTAAATTTTAAAATATTCTTTCTAGCATATCCTTTGTCCAGATTAAAGGCTGAATTTATTTGAAATGATTGTATTGCATTATCTGTTCATTTTTCTCCTCATGTTTGATAATAATTTTTTAAATTTCCAGAAAAATTTCTAGAAAAATAAAAGAAACCCTTTACCCAATTCACCAATTGTTACATTTTGCCCTATTTGCCTTATTCCCCTCTCCTTCCATACACACTCAGTTCATTATTTTTTCCCTGGACCTTTGAGAGTAAGTTTGAGATATTGTATTCATTTGCCTTGTATGTACATTTGTTAAGCACAAGGATGTTATCCACAGAAGAATGATCAAGCTCAGGAAATTTAATATTTACACACTATTATCTAATCCATAGTCCATATTCAAATTTTGTCCATGTGCCAACAATGTACTTGTTAGGTATACATATTTTCCTCTAGTCCAGGATCATAGATATATTTAGTTGTCATGTCTCATTTAACCTGGAATAGTTCTTCAATCTTTGGGGTTTTTTGACCTTGACATTTTTGAAGCATATGTAGGCCAGCAACTTTGTAGAATGTACCTTAATTTGGATTTGTCTGTTGTTTCCTCATGATGAGATTTGGTTTTGCATTTTTGGTCCACATAAAGATTTATTATTTTCTGACCTGCTAAACATGATCATACAGAAATTTGTATTTTATTGTGCTGAGAGCAATTTGGGAAACTGTGAGCCATATGATGGTTTCTAGGAGTGAGCAAACGTACCAGTCAAATAATACTAACAAATAACACAGGTCAAATAACACCTTAGAAAATTGTGGTACATTATAGTCTGATATCATTTCATTATTGGAATTTGTTTTAATTTTCAGTCAGTGAAAAAACTTAGTCACAGAATTAGTACTCTTAATAAGTGTATATAAATTACTAGTGGTGAGATTAAAAATAAATCAGGTGGGCCGGCCCCCTGGCTCACTCTGGAGAGTGCCCAGTGCCGAGGCCGCGGGTTCGGATCCTATATAGGGATGGCCGGTGTGCTCACTGGCTGAGCGTGGTGTGGACCACACCATGCCAAGGGTAACGACCCCCTTACTGGTCAGAGAAAATAAATAAATAAATAAATAAAAATAAATCAAGTACCTGTAGATGATATACTCTAGAAAATATGTCAAAGGAAAACTGAAAACTAGGTTTTCATAGCACACAGGAATACCCAAGGATTTCCAGGTGTTTTTATTGATAATATTGATCAGGGAAAATAAAGGTCGTGGAGTAAGAGAAACCAGAACTTTGTATTTTTTCTATGAGTTTGTATTTTTCTCACATCTTTAATTCTTACTTGCACTGCAGAATGTTAGGAATTATGTATTTCTCAGAATCTTTAGTTTTTTGTACATTAATGTTCTTCTTCCTAAAGGTGAGGCTTCTATACTAGCTACCTTCTCTATAACAGAAGGGAAGAAAAAAGTTCCCGTGGCTGGCTGCAGAGTCCTAAAGGGACAGTTAGAAAAACAAAAAAAATTTAAATTAATCCGTAATGGACATATTATATGGAAGGGTAAGCAACTTCAAAATCTATTTCTATGTCATATCTAGTCACCAAAACTTGTTGACTGTGTAAACTTCTGGAATCTGTTTGTCTTTCATTCCCGTAATCTTAGCTCAGGCCATTTCTTAGTGCTGTTACAATGCATAACTGGTCTATAGTTGATGGGCTCCCTCCCTACTAGTTCTCATGACTCTTCCAGGATTGTCAATCCCTAAGCCTGGTTTTCTAAGCTTTTAAAAATTGGTCCCAAACCACCTTTCGAATTAAATCTCCTACACTTAATCTATACCATTATACTTCCTTACTCTTATCCTTTAGTTTAACCTGACCTTTTGTCTGTCTTGTCTTTTATCTTGGTTTTTCCCATTCGAGTCCTGAGTACAATTCTGTCCTCTACATAAAATCTTAGTTCACCTCTGAAATGGGAGATTTAGGATCTTTTGCTACAAGTCAAATCCTGTTTACAGCAAACTTCATTTCTTAGTTTTCCCTGGTATTTAGTTTCATTATTTAACATGACAGGACTGTAAAATTTTTAAGAATTTCAGTGTAATTTTCTTTGCAATTCTGGAATACATAGCATTTAGTATGTACTCATTTGTTGAATATACTAACCTTAAGTTTCTTTTATTTTTTTTAAGGCTCATTAACCACAATGAAACACCATAAAGAGGACATTTCAGTCATCAAAACTGGAATGGATTGTGGTCTCAGTTTAGATGAAGAAAAGATAGAATTTAAGGTGGGAGATGAAATTGTTTGTTATGAAGAAAAGGAAGTTCCAGCAAAGACTTCTTGGGACCCAGGATTTTAAAATTAGAAACATAAATGACTAAATGTTTTGCTTTATTATACAGCAACTGGTTTTGATTTATTGAAGGTAAAAATTCACCACTACGGGTCAAAAAGTACCTGAATTGTTCTATCAAGGGTTACTGTGCATTAAAATAACTGTCAAAGGGCCAGCCCATGACTCATTTGGGAGAGTGTGGTGCTGATAACACCAAGGCCACGGGTTCAGATCCCTATACAGGGATGGCCGGTTAGCTCACTTGGGAGAGCGTGGTGCTGACAACACCAAGTCAAGGGTTAAGATCCCCTTACCGGTCATCTTTTAAGAAAAAAAAAAAGAAATAAACTGTCAAATTCTACAGAAACAGTAAATCTTATTTAAGGGTGCCTCCAACTAGAAATCCTGTAGTGGAAAAGACCAGCAATATGGTAAAAGGGAATTGTTAATTATTAGCTTATCACTGAATGTAATAATCAGAGTTTAAGATACTTCCTTTATGTGTATGCTTAGTTAAGAGTGGTATCAAGCAAACCAGTCCTCCCTGAATTGAGCTTCATGGGCAAAAGTTCCAATCAAGTACTGCTTGAAATTGTTTTAGTTTTCAGAGTTAACAGTACTAATAATCCTTCCTTTATAGGAATTTACTCTGAATACAACATTAAAGTTTAAATTTCCAAGAGTTCATACTCAACTTTGTACTGTAAAGCACATTCCCTCATACTGCAGACAGCAAACATCCCACTGAAACCATCCAGGGAATCAGGATGTATTTTTGAATTGGCAACTTAAACTTAGGCTTTAAATTTCCTGTGACTGGGGGTTGGGGTGATGTGTGAAGCAGGCACTACGGGCAAAAAAGGGGCTAGAGGCCAGGGATGATATCCATCCTATCAAGCATAGCATAGCCTTCACAACAAAGAATTAAACTGGCCCAAAATGTCTATTGTGCTGAAGGAACTGACAGAAATACAAACTGAGCTGACATGAAAACACGATATAATTCTTCTGACCAAGTATAGGCAGTTTAAGACATTATTATGAAGTGAAAATATCAAGACCTTTCCAAGTAGTTGGCACTTGGCAGGTACCCAGAACCACTGGGTCACACAATCCCCAAAAGCAACATTTACATGATGGCAGTAGCACATCATGATGGCACTATCAAAGGAAATGGTGTGACCATCAATTTGCCACTCAAAAACCATTCTTTAAATCACAGCAATAAATTCAACAATTAAAAGTTAGTTCATGTCTTTTATTAACTCATACACGATTACTTATCTTCTGGTTTGTTGAAGCAATAAGTCAGACAACATTTGCCACAATAATGTCTGTCAAAGTGGCTGGCCATAAAAACTCCAGCACCACATTCGTCTGAAGGACACTCCCGACGAAGGCGACTAATTTTGCCATTCTCATCCACCTGAAAGTACAAACAGCAGAAAGGTAATTTTATAACATATTCTCAAGTCTAATTTAAGAGATTAAGAATACTTAACCTTTTAACCACGCAATACTGGTAGCCTTTAGTACTTATAAAACAAAGACCCCAAATTTTCATCAGTAATTACTACTCACAGAAAAGTTCAGAAGTGTTGGGACTTTTGTACATTAAATTCCAGCTCTGCAAGATGAAGCTAAGACCTGAATCCAGATCTGACTTCAAACTCAGAACCCTACTTTGGAACAAGCAGCTAAAGGTAACCCCCATTATTTAAACTCTTTCAAATAACCAAACAGGGAAGAAAAAAGAAAAAAAAAAGCCCAGGAACTTTGAAATTCTCAGTTCCAGAATACCTTGTTTAAACCAAAAGTAGGTAATACTGAATATTCAAGTCCAGTTACTCCATAAGAAGACACTGACAAGTTACTAAGAAGATTAAGTTTCCAAATAAATCATGACTTTATATTGTTACCTTAAACTGGCTCACCTTATAGTATTTCAAAACAGCCAGCTTAACCTTCTTTCTCTTATGCTTATTCTTCTTGGGAGTGGTGTAAGACTTCTTCTTCCTTTTCTTAGCACCACCACGAAGTCTCAACACAAGATGAAGAGTTGACTCCTGTTAATGGAACAGAGGATGAAACAGGTTTCCATGCTGCATTAAGAACAGACATCATGAATCTTTTAATTAAATGCCAAAGGAGTCCACAATAAAACCTGTGAGGGAGACTGCCCCCTCCTCAAAGTATCTGATTCTTAATTTATAGGGAGATGAAAGAACACTTAATTTCATCATGGGATGCAACTTGCAAAATCCAGAACGTGAGAAACTATGGCAGTGCATCTCAGATGTTAGTGTAGGAGTCACCTGGGAATCTACGGCTTATCTAATGTTTTTCTCCCCACTTTTGTTTCAACATTTCTGAAAAAAGACTTTTAAGGGGTGCTCTTTCCCCAAACGGACCTTCTGAATGTTATAATCAGACAAAGTACGTCCATCTTCCAGTTGCTTACCAGCAAAGATCAGTCTTTGCTGATCAGGAGGAATTCCTAATGAAAAACAAAAACAAAAAAACCAACAGTAAGTGAAGTCACAGCAGAACAAGCGTATCTGCTCCAGATTTATAAATAATCCTGAATTAAAAGGTACTAATGGCTCTCACTGCGTTCTTGCTAAATGTTTACATGTTTCACCCCATTTAATCTTAATGACAATACATGTTAATATCGTAATTCACTTTACAGATTAGCAAACAGGTACAGACAAATAATTTATCCAAATTCACGTGTGTAGTGCACAGCAGGTATTCCAATCTAGGCAGCTTGACTCCATGCTCATAAACATTTGTTTACTGTGTTATTCCAAAAGTATTTCTTTGTTAATCTGACCTCTTCCAACCCACCGAAAGCAACAGACCCAGTACCTATAGGTAGGCTGGCGTCTCCATGTGTTAACTCCAGAACTACAAAATATTACTTGCCTTCCTTATCCTGGATCTTGGCCTTTACATTTTCTATTGTATCCGAGGGTTCAACCTATGAGTTTTAAAATCGCAGTATATTGGTTACACGATAAGAAACAAGAATGGATACATTTAACTCAATTTGACAATTACCACAGGACTAAACCAGGTGGGAGGGCTGAAGCCTACCCAATAGAGCTGATCGCCCACCCTGTGGTCGACCTCCCAGGACTGCTACCGGCGAGCACACTTGCTCTCCCCAGCCTAGGGCGGGCGGCGGCTGCTGGGCCACACGTGCTCACGCCCGCCGGTGAGGAGCCTCTCCTTCCCCGCCGCGGGTCCCTGCTTTGGCTAACTGGCCAGAAACACTGGAGAAGTGATAGACCCAGCCTTTGGGCACCGGAAACCGGACCTAAGCCCTTGCTCAGCACGCTACCCTGAACTGAGGGCCGGGATTCAGAAGCCAAATTCGGATGCATGTTCTAGGGCTTGGAAAACACTGCCGGTCTCAAAAGCCGCCTCCGGACCTTATTGGGGCCTTGGCTTCCTCGTACCACCTGGCCCGTACCTCGAGAGTGATGGTCTTCCCCGTAAGGGTTTTTACGAAAATCTGCATCTCGGTGGCAGTTCCACCTGAGGTTGCGGGAAATAACGAAACGGGTTAGTCCTGGGGAAACAAGAGAGGGCGACGCATGGGTCGCCGGCCGGAGAGCGGCCAGAAAGCACACACTCACCACAGATGGCGGATCGGAAAGGAAGAGCGCCGCCCCGGCCCACGGGGTTTCCCGGCGCCCCCGCCGAAGGTCCCACCCCCTAGGCAACCACAGCAAATGCCTGACTGCAATTATCGCGGCTGTCTAACCCAGTGCCAGACTGGGTCCCGAATGCTAGTTCTCTCCCTAGGCTGCGCTGGTTTCTTGTTTTCGTCTTTAGAATGAGTGCTTTCGAAGTGGTAGATTTAAACAACTTAAAAATGTTTTAAAAAGGCTTTTCCCATACAGTCGATGTGGCTAAGAGGGTCTGTAAAAGTGGCGGTTCAGGGGGCACCCTTGTGGAAAAAGAAGGAAATGGAAGTGTATTCTGGGAGTTGTAGCTTTCCACGGCTTCCCCCCTCCCCCCCTTTTTTTTAACCTGGAACTACTTGTCCCAAGATGCAATTCCACACCCCCGGTTGCCTAGTTACTATATCTAAGCACCGGAGTCGATGTTTGGAGGAAGGGATGCAGGTGAGAACCGGAGGAAGTATAAGGCAGAATAATGGTTTGGGGGGTGGGGGGGTGGCGGGCGGTAATAACTAGGAGGAAAGGTTAAGGGGCAGGAAAGTGTCATTCATCGCTTGCAGCGGCGATGAGGGGCGTGGGATCAGCGACCTACCAGACAGTCGCTCCCAGAGAATCCCAGGGAAGGGAATCCCCGAGGGGCATGGTGTGTCACTCTTTGGTGTGAAAAGGTTTAATATGTTGGAAATCTCAGAAGTTTTCAAATTTTAGAATGAATCTATACGGGAAGGAATCCTGCAGAGTGGTTGGTTAGTTGTAGAATTTCCAGGTTTGAAGATTGGGAGCGTTGGTGAAGGTCCTGAGAGGAAGTTTTTTAAGCATGTGTAGGGTGATCTCGCGGCAGGCAGGCCTATTAGAAGCAAGTTACGCCCTCTCCCTGTCCTTTTGCCACTCCAGAAACCAGAGTTCTTTTTAATGTTCCCTCTTAATGTCTTCTCTATTTATCTCTCCATTCCCTGCACTCTTCGTCCACATCCCCAAATTCAAGCCTCCTTAATTTTCTCCCGGAGGGGTTGAGTACCTAACTCCTTATGTGTCTCCAGTCTATCCCCTTTTCCAACCCACCTTCACTGTTGCCTCCAGAATATCATTCTACAAAGTAAAAATGATTGTGTCATTATTCTACTTCAAATACTTCACCTTCAGTATAAAATGCTAAATTCCTTAGTATGACATTCAGCCTCTACCTTCCCTACAGCCTAATCGGCTAAACCTATTACACTGCCTATTAGTCTCCACCTTTACAGCAAAACTTTTTAAAAACCAAGGGCTAGGGCTCAATCCCTGTACTGGCCAGCTGCCCCCCACCCCCACAAAAAGAGTTTTTTATACTCATTCTCCCTACTCTTGCCCTTTCATTGACGGAACCCACTCCTGTCGGGCTTTCCCCACGGACAATCCAGCAGAATAGCTCTTGTTATAGTCACAAGACCTCCATGTTGCTGAATTCAATGGTCATTTTATCTTGTTCGATTTGTCAGCAGCATTTGACACAGTTGATCACTCCCTCCCTCTCTGAAACACTTTCTTCATCTGAATTTCAGGATACCTCTTTCATTTCTATACCCTGGATGTTCTTTTCCAGGCTCTTTGCTGCTTCCTCTTGATCTACCAGACCTCTAAACTTGGAGTGCCCCCAAGGCCCAGTCCTTGGACCTCTGCTTTGTTTATATTTCTCAGGTTATCTTATTCTATCTAATGACTTTTAAATACCATTTATATGCAGATGACTCAAATTATCTGTCAGTAAGACTACTTAGCTGAACTTCAATTCACATATCCAGCTGTCTGCTCAACATTTTTTTTTTTTTTTTTCAAAGACTACCGGTAAGGGGATCTTAACCCTTGACTTGGTGTTGTCAGCACCACACTCTCCCAAGTTAGCTAACCGGCCATCCCTATGTAAGGATCTGTATTGGTCCGTTTGTATTGCTATAACAGACTACCTGAAACTGGGTAATTTATAAAGAACAGAGGTTTATTTGGCTTACGATTCTGGGACAGCTGCATCTGGCACGGGCCTCAGGCTGCTTCTACGCATGGCGGAAAGTGGCAGGTACAAGCAGATCACATGGCAAGAGAGAGGAAGCAAGAGAGGGAGAGAGGAGGTGCCAGGGTCTTTTTAAACAACCAGCTCTTTCAGAACTAATAGAGCAAGAACTCCCTCATTACTCTCCCCTCCCCCAGGGAGAGCATTAATCCATTCATGAGGGATCCAGCCCAATGACTCAATCAGTTTCCAACACTGCCACATTGGGGATCAAATTTCCACATGAGTTTTGGTGGGGATGACACATCCAAACTCCATCATACCACCCCTGGCCCCCCAAAACTCATGTCCTCTCACCTACAAAATGCAATCATTCCATCCCAACAGTCCCAAAAGTCTAAGCTTGCTCCAGCACCAACTTAAAAGTCCAAGGTCCTTGGGCTGGCCCGGTGGCGCACTGCTACAGTGCGCCGCTTGGGAGCGTGGTGGCGCTCCCGCCGAGGGTTCAGATCCCACATACAGACCGGCCGCTCACTGGCTGAGCGAGGTGCAGGTGCAACACCAAGGGTTGAGGTCCGGTTGATGGACCCGGCCC